TCTAATAATTTCTGAAATATTTTAAATTTTTTTAAAAAAATACATTTTTTTACCTTATTGTCTTTATTCAAATTTTTTTATTTTTGTGGCTAGTATATATCTTAACTGTTGATTTATTTCTTTATTTTTCCCTGTATACCTAAGTTGTTTTGCATATAACTTAATGAAATACCTCTGTGTGGAGTTTGGTTTTCAGAAAAATGTAACACCCTCTTTTAATTTCTTTTTTTGGTGGCAAGTACTGTTACCCATCACTTTTTCCATCAGCTGGAATGTATAGCTTTAAAAAATGGGCATAGGTGTTTTTATATTTTCTTAAGCAAGTAAAAGTAATTGTATGTATTGTAAACTTCTTAGATAGTTTTAAAATGTGAAATGCCACCAATAATGGTAATGTACATCAGTTAATGATGATCATCGAGCTCAACTGTCTCAGCGCAGTAATATTGAGTTAATGGTATGCTTGGAATGTGAAACAGAATGAAATACAAATGTTGCTGTCAGTTTCCCAGCTCTGAATCTAAGCGGACTCATTTGGGGTATGTTTGTTTGGTTTGGATTTTTTTTTTTCAAGACCTTTTTGGTTCTCAGATACAAGTTTTTCTATTTAGTTTTTGAATGTCTTCTGTCCCTTGGCACTGTGATGGCCATTTTAAGTCCCTCATAAGTGGGGACACACAGGTCAGTATGTTGGAACTGCCTGAGGAACTTCAGACAATACCTTCCGTCCTCTGCAGCCGTGTGCCACTGCTCTAGCAAGTGTCTCATGCAGCTTTCCTTTGGGCCTTTTTATTCTTGTGGTTGCAGAAATAAAAATTTTTTTTTAGTATCACTGACTTTTGTTTAAGTGCAATCATCTGTATTCATTTGTATTATTATAGATTTTTCCATCTGTATTGTACTTTTGGAAACTTGTTATTTAATAAATACCATTCCTGTGTGGAATATAAACCACCCTAGCATTACTTTATGTTACTGAAATATCAAGTTATCTACTTGTTTATGAGTAAATGCATTCTTTTGATATGTGTTTCTTTTAATGTTCCCAAACTAGTTGAGCATTTATTTTTCCCCTCTGTATCCCTTTAACCTCAAAAGCTATGATTCTCAACTTGGGGAGAATTAAAAAAAAAAAAAAAAAAAAAAAAAAAATTTGCTTATGGGGCCAGCACATGGCATGGTGGTTAAAGCGGCAGGGCTCCCACTTGGTCGACCACGGTTTGAGTCCTGGACCCGGTAGCTTGAAATTCACCCTGGGTGTCTGTGCATGTATGCCTAAAGTTCCAGGAGGCGAATAGAGGAAAGGGCATTGCAGCATGGCTATCCCCCTGGGAGGTGATTTCTTACTCTCCCTCTCTGTGTCTCCTCTGGTGAGTGCATATGCCATATGGCAAAAAAAAACAAAAAAATGTGTGTATGTGTGTATATTGATGACTACCTTGGGGATAAACACTTGGTTTGGTATTTTTAAAAAACTGCTAAAGGGGGTCCTAATGTTGCAGCCAGGTTTGGAAAACATTTCAGAAAACTTACTGCAAGGTAATTGGCAATCTGTGGGACTGACTTTTTTTCCGGAGAAGTTTCTGTTACAGGGCATGTGCGCTCGCCAGAGAGACAGAAAGCGAGAAATCATCCCCCAGGGGGGATGGTCATGCTGCAGTCCCTTTTCCTCCATTCTCCTCTTGGGATCCTGGGCATGCATGCACATGCACCTGGCGTGAGTTTAAGCCACCGAGTCTGGGACTTAAACCACAGTCGACTATATGGGAGTCCAGCGACACAGCCATTATGCCAACTGCTGGTCCCAGCGACTGACATTTAAGTGTTTTATTCTTAAATGTTTTATGTTTATTCATTCTATGTTTTGACAGACGAGGACTTCCAATTAAATTTATTTAAATCCGAGGGTCATTTTTTTTCTTTTTTTTCTTACTAGTGGCTAATACCCGCTGTCCTCTCAGAAGTCTCTGTAAAGATAGGCCTTCCATTTTACCATGAGAAAATGGAGGCATGACAGGTTAAATCCCTGAATAAAGCTTCACGTAGGCATAGGTAGGCATAGAAATGGGTCTAGGTCTTCTGTACTCTGTCCAAAATTCACTTTTTGCATTTTACTATCACGTTGGTTTTATAAGTTCTCTCTGTTTTCATGGCACCATTTTTTTGTACTTTATAAAGTGGATCATGTAAAATGAAACTCATGAACATCCCATCACAGTGGGGAAAAGTTTGCCTTTCTTAACTTTTTCCTCCACTGGAATCTAATTAGCAGCAGAGCATAACAGATCATTAAGAAATCAAGCAGTGATATTTTGAATTAATATTTTCATTCTTTCTGGTAAGCAATAGATTTCAAAGTAGCTGGTCCTTGAAGTCTATAGGTTTGATACAGATTGTCATCATCTAAATATGAAATATGTTTTAAAACTGAAGAACCAAGTAAGAAGAGCCCTGGAAACAAGACACAGTTGTATTGTAAATCACTGATGGGATAGATTGTTACTATGTTCAAATAACCTGCAGGAAACTGGTATGCTTTTAGGATCTCTTGATACTTGTATAGTAACAATAGACAGTTGGAATTTTTTATCATCCCATTATATGTTAGCATTTCAGTAACCAAAATCATTAGCCGATGTGCCGAGCTGGTGGCAAACTGCAGTCGGTAATTCTGCCACATGCTTTTGTTTTTGGAAATTCACCTTTTTATCTTAATTAAAGTTCACCCTTTCATTCTTACTTGAGTTCACCAGACATCTGGGAATATTCAAGAGGAAGATAAAAGCGATGTCAGTGTTGGTATGTGGTAGCTAAATCACGTGTCCATGAGAGCGTAGAGGTGACTACTGCAACACAGTTTATGAAAACTTCATGCAAAAAAAAGTAAACACCCAAATTAGGAAACTAGTAAGTTTATTGCATGATTGTTTTGTTTTAGCATTTATTAGCTTTAATTCTTTCACTTTAGGTATTTAAAATCTAACTGAAGTAATGAAAAACCCATTTTCCTAAAAAGTTATAAGAAGCTCATTACCTAAATGTACTTGTTTTCTCAAATTCTGCTTTTTTAAATTAAATATTTACTGTAATCTATATTTACATGTAATCACTACACATCTTTGTAGGTTACAGAATGGTCTTTAAAAGCATGTGTATGATATATAATAAACAAAATGAGGATGTAAACATAGTCATTATGTAAGTGTATGTATTGTGTTGTAAACATTCAAAACTCACTCCAGTGGTTATTCTGCAAATGTGTACTGAATGATGTTCTTTACCATGAAATATAGTTCTAAAGGAAAACATATTGATTAAAACTCAGGCAACAAACACTCTCATAAATTAACAAAGATAATCTTAACATAGCCAATGAAAGAAGAATTTGTAATTTCCATGTCGAGGACTGGGAGATAAGAGTTTATAATCTGAAAAATCTGTGGATATTAATCATTGGTTCAGTTAGAGAGAGAGAAAATTGTACATAACAATAACTCATTAGGAAGAGATAGAAAAAGAACACTTTTACTCACATATTGAGTTCTTGCAAGACCATAGTACTGCAATGTGCATAAAGAAATATGTCCTAGAAAAAGCAAAGATAAAACAAAATTCGAAAGAGATGCTTAAAAGTGAATACATGGTGGGACCAGCAGTTAGCATAATGGCTATATCGCAGGCTCCCATGTAGTTGACTGTGGTTTGAGTCCGGACCCAGGGCTTAAACTCACACTAGGCGCATGTGAGTGTGTGCCAAAGATCCCATGGGGGGAAAGGAAGAGAAAGGATTGTGGCATGGCCATCCCCCCTGGGGGGGGGTGATTTCTCGCTTTCTGTCTCTCTCTGTCTTTCTGGCAAGTGCACACACCCTATAGCAAAAACCTCTTGGGAAAAAAAAAGTGAATACATGGTAAAGCCAGTGATTTGGTTATTTATAGGCTTTACAAACTTCTTGATTTTAAGCTTTTGTATTTTTTAAAAATTCTGTCCAAAGATTCAGCTATAACATTTTGAACTTTTTCTTCTATTATCTAGTTCTATACAATGAGTAATGGTTATAATAAATAAGTAAATTGAAACCTGTGGAGACAACTGCCTATCAGATAATTGGTGGATTTGTATTTGAACCTTCTTGTGTGTAAAATGGTTGAATCTACTATTAGTCCTGACATTTAGCATTATTATCACCATGTGTGGACTTTATTTTTTTCTAGTTGTTTTGTGTTCTCTTACTCTATTTGTCTCCCTTCAGTTTTTCCTGGTATAGTAGCACCTTAAATTCCCTGAAGAACTGGTTGCATTTTGGTGAATTCTTTGAGTATTTGTTTATCTGGGAATGATTTTAATTCTCCTTCCCATTTGAAGGATAATCTTACTGAGTGTAGTACTCTTGGCTGGTTTTCGTTCACTGTTAAGTATGTCTTCCCATTCTTTCCTTGCTCGCATTCTTTCAGCTGAGAGATCTGATGTTGATCTTAAGGGGTAATCTTTGCAAGTAACTTGGCGTTTCTCTAGGTATCTTTAGAATTTTCTCTTTGTCTTTGATTTTTACCAGTTTGGCTATGATATGCCTTGGAGAGGATCTTCTTATGGTGTATCTATTTGGTGTCATTTGTATCTCCTGGGTTTGGATGCCCACATGCCTCTCTCAGTTTGGAAAGTTTTCAGTCAATAAATTATGAAAGATGTCTCTATGCCTTTACCTGTCTCTTAACCTTCTGGAATATCTCTTCTGTGGGTATTTGGCTGTTTAATGGTATCCAGGATTTCTAATATATTGTCCTC